CCTCTCTTCCTTGTTAGGCTTAGGCAAGAGTTCCACCTCCTGACGAAGAACTGTTTTCAAGAGACGTTATATCGTAGTAATTGTAACAATAGTAAGGCTAATTAAGAATATAGCATTTCTTCTCTCCCTTTAATTGTTTGAATTTACTTCTTAGAAAAACTTTCGCTTTAATTATACTGCTTACATTCGGCTTGAATTGCAATTAGCATAGTGCAGGAACGTTCGTTAACAAGTGATAATAATAATGGCTAAGAGTATGACAATAATTAGGCAAATGCTCAGCGAACAAAGCAGTTCGTTGTGGGCGAAGGCAAATAACTAAATTCTCGGTAATATGGGGGAATATGTCCTTGCAAAACTCTAAACGATTACTCAATTTGAATAAAAAGTTTTTTCCAAATAAAAAGATGAAACACCTAACGGTCCTGTATTATGGAGAATTTCATTCGATGAAAATTGCCAATATTGTTTGATTTACAGAACTTCCAGATGTATTCCTGGAGTGGCACGAGATAAGTTCAACGTGGTCCTCGATGTGGGTCAAAAAGTCCGGGTCGGCTTTACTGTAGCCGATGGCATAAGTTTCATGGAAGCAATGCGAGCCGTACTTGACTATCATGTTATCATCGTGGATTCTATAAACATTTAAAAGGCCCTATGGGCTGATAGTGCTTTTTCCAGTGAAAATAGAACTGTCTTTGCTGACTTCATTTCTTTTCTTTCGATTGGTTCATACCACGCCTGTGTATTCATTGAATTTCAAATTTATAATCCTGTGAGAGTTGATTCGCTTCAAGTGCTCAATTGTTTACTCTTCAATTATTGGATTTTTGTGTTTGTCTTAATACCATAAAATTTTTTTTGCCACCCAATCAATCACGATGATAAGTGAACAGATTTATTATCATGTATTACACATGATATCCTCCTACGCATAATCGTTGGTTGCTTAAAGCTAGAACATCCGATAAACACCTTTTACGACTGATTGAAGAGGTTTGTAATCGGGGATTAAGGAGACAGACGGCATGAGAGTATTCACTTCACGAACCGTATCTGCTATTCTAGAGATACTCAAGCACTAGCAATTTGCAAAACATAAATAGATTTCTATGAAATGAGATATAAATGGCTATGCGAACAGTTTCGAACAAGAAGTACTTTTCGAAAGAACTGAATGTTTTCAGGGTTAAGAAGGAATTATAAGGTCTTTTCTTTAAATAACAATTCACGATAATTTTTGGTAATCCAGATTATGACGAAAAATGGAAGGTAAGATGGAAAATAGTGCGATGCAGGCGAAGAACATGCGTGAGTCGGTGCTTCCAAAGTGGAAAAGGCTTCAAAAATCATTAAACATGAGGTTGGACGAGAAAGAGACCAGAAAAATCAAGAAGAATGGGGCGTTTTGACGAGCTATACAATGTGTGCCATTGCGTAAGTGTGGATCCTGGTACGAGTAGCTGACTTCGGTAACTAAAAAAGCCCGTGGAAATTCATTTATTCATAAGCATAAGTTAACAAAAAAAACGAGTAACAGCAAAAGTAGTCCACCTTTTTCAGTCTTTAGATAGAAAATTAGAATAAGGATCGTATCAGCAAAAAGAATAACAGAGAATAAAAGAATGAGAGAAAAAAGTCGCTTCATTACTCGGCGATGAGCTGATGGTGTATGGGTCCTAGAACGAATATTGCAATCGGTATTGCCTCGACACTCGTCTGACAAGACATCGATTAAGGGGCGGGAAGTGCAGGCGATCCCATAACGGGGCCCCACTATACCCTAGCCGTTGAGTTTCTGGAATCGACAGCGTCCTTCTTGTCACCCTTGAGGGCCACGGAGCATTCCAAAAGGAAGAACTCAGAAACCATTTTCATCGTTAATTGCGCCTTTAGTTCTACTTATTGCTCAGATTAGTGTGGAGCAAACAGATAGCGTTTCCAGAGGGGATACAACTATAAAGTGGAGGTATATTTCTTGATGGAAGCGCTTATAGTGCTTGAGAGTATTATCAATGAAAAGAAAATCACAATCTGACAAATATTATTCTTTGAAATGATTCCTTTGTTGAGCCATCCACCTTTGCTATGCTTTGTTTTTGGAAAATGCAAATTTCTAGTTGCTGAAACTGGTCAGTCCTTCCGGGTGGAAAATTTGAATGCTATGTGGATCTTTGAGGCGAACGTGACCGGACTACGTGCACACTGGCAATTACTGATAATCTTGACATTTTATGTTTTATGTAACTTCAACGTTATCTGATTCGTGGGCGAAAATGACGTGTGCTTCGACTAGAAGTTGTAGCGCCTCAATGATTTGATGATAGCTATTTTCGACTGCGTTGTAGCGTAGGCACCTTCTACGAGTCCGCGGGACAACACACAATTGTACCATCTAGTTCAATAATTACTTTGAACAGCACTTTTCTCGGATATTTCCGGCCCTCGCTAGATGAACTGGAACCTACAAATTAAATATCTGAGAGTTTTGTGGTAATTTTATTGACTATTGTCTTACTCGACCCGATCGTTGCGCTGGCACAACTGCAAACACTGCAAACCGAAGATCTTTCGGCGAGTGAGATCAATGTAATTACAGTGCAAACCTTTGGGAGGTTCAAGTAGATGTGGCAAGGTTTGGTTCCCTGATATATTTTTTGCAAAGGAAAGCATATACTCGGCATGAAGTAAAATGCTTACAACAGTTCCGTGCACTTACCTGACTCTACGTGCAAGTGTTTGCAATGAAAAAAGCAGAAGGTTTACTGGGTTACGAAATGGTAGGGTATGTTTCTGGAAAAAGCAGCAGGCGAAAATGTAGTTGGGGGGTGCCAGCGCCCCTCCGTCTCGTTACTCTGCGTCTCTGACCCAAGCGGCAGTGTACCCAGGGCGCGGATATGTCCTCGTACTAGTAATAGGGAATGAATTCTTTAACAAGGGGAGGAGCTCCAGGGTGGGTGAGAAGTAAGTGCAAGGACAAGAGAAAGTTGCGATAAAGTAGACAAGAGTGGAATGGGTTGTCTGCAATAAAACGATTGCGGCCGTGGACGCACTGCAAGCGTCGGCTAAAGTTGTTATTGAAGAGCTATTCTAGATCATTTCAACTTTTTGCACAGCGTTTACTTCTCACCCACCCCAGAGCTCCTTACCTTGTTGAAGAATTCATTCCCTATCACTATTGGCCCGAGGGAGAGGAAATGTTTGCCGAGGGCGCGAGTGTTCAAATGGGGTTTTTGCCTTTGTTCTGTGTCAAGATAGTTGCAATGGAGCTAAGTATTTTCCTATAAACAGGTGAAGAATCGACAGCCCTTGGTAATCATGTGATGTTTGTCTCTGCGACCTTACCTCAGCGAGAGCTCAGAGAAGCCCGACCCCATTGGCTCCCCGGGGGATGAAACTACCCCTAGAATAGAGCTGGGGCGCCGATGGTCATGTAGACCGCAACTCTGCTATTCACTACATTATTCGACTGAGCGCTTATTGCTCTGAC